CTGCCCCGGAGGGACAAACGGGGGTACAGGCGCCCCGGGTGCAGCAGGGGCACCGTACTGCGGATATTCCGTGCCAGAAACAGGATAAAACACCGTTCCGGGAGGGAAAGCCGCCGGATAGTACCCCTGGGGAGGCTGCTGGAACGCGTACGGCTGGAAGGGCTGCGCGTGAATGGCCTGCGACATCGGCGTTCCCGACGCCTGGCTGAGGTGCGACGGGTGACGACCATGAGGATAGTGAGCCGCATCAGGAGCGTGGGCCGGGCCCGTGACAGGCATCGGGACCTGCTGATGGAAAGGTTGCTCCTGCTGCGGCTGCGGAGGATTGAAGTTGAAGCTGGCAGGACTTTCGATGTCGGCCACCGACACGGCCTTCTGCGGGCGAGGCTGGTGCATCGGGATCGGAGCAGGACGACTCTCGCGGAAGGTTGTAGTTGTCGTAGCGGGGGCTGAGGGAGGAGGCGCGCCGGAACCAGCAGAAGCGGCACTGGATCCGACACTGGTGGTGGGAGGCTGGTATGCCTGCCCCGGAGGTCGAGCAGGGGGCGGAAGACGCACCACGGGCTTGCCATTCTCTGGCACCGTCATCGTTTGTCTCGAGAGCACCGATGCCGCTGGCGAATGGACTCCTTCCTGCGAAGTCACCCTTCCCATGGACGATCTCCGGCTCATCGGCACCCCAGGCGAGTATCCCGGTCCCGGATAGAGACTAGTACGCCGACCACCGTAGAAACCACCGCGGCCCCGTCCCCGGAAACCCTGTTGGTTGGGCCGAAGCGCCCGCGGAATGAAAATGAACGATCGTTCGGTCGCGGGGAAGATGTACCGGGGAGGCGACCCTGGCAGTGAGATTCGGACCGGCTTGTCTCGACGCAGAGGTGGCCGATGCTGAGGGAGCCGGGTGTGTTGCCGCTTGGGGACAGCAGCAAAAGAAACCGGGTTCGCCATCCCTGGCAGGAAGACCACGACCGGGACATTCCCGATCAGGACGGTGGTCGAGAAGGACCGATTCGGCGGAGTAGACCGAGGCGCCGTGGGAACGGCCCTGGGAGCGTTCGAAGGAGCGCTTGTCTGCGGCGGGAGAGGGGACTTGGAAGCGGGTCGTTCATCGCCAGCGACGGTTTCGTGGAGGTCGTGAGTCCACTGTCCTTCGCTGGCGTCAGGCTTGGGAGGGCGTCTAGAAGGATGCCATGTCAGCACTTTAAAAAACAACCACACAGCTCGGACCAACATACCTCCCAACGTTGCCGTCAACGATCAGCCCGTGCGGCCGCGACTTGGACCTGTTTCTGAAAGGCCGGTGGCCATTCGTATCGGGCTCCGTGGATCTCCTGTCGTGTAGGAAGAAGCCACCGCGTGTGGGCACAAAGGCAGGATCCTCGTCGCGAGCCTTGATATACTCTTCATGCTCTCGACGCTTCCGTTCTGCAAAGGTCTCCCGCTTCGATTCCGAAGGCGTTCTCCCGGTCTGGGCCTCACCGTTGTCATCCTGGTCCTCCTCCTTTAGGTCATCAAACTGGATTTCTGCCACTTCGCCATCCTGGTCCGAGATCTTGATCCCGTTCATCATCGCTTCCGTATCCGACAGCGTCGATGCAACGACGCGCTTCCCTGGCGAAGGGGACCTGCCTTTCTCCGCCCCAGCCTCATGCACGCCATTGACATGTCCGTTGGTCCTGTCGGCTCGTGGCGATACGGAGGAGTCATCCTCGCTGGCATCGCTGCCCTCCCCGTCCGCATCGTCGTCGTCCTGGTTGCTGACGACGGAACCGTCACTCAGCGAATCGTCCTCGAGCTCCTCGGCAGTTGAGCCCTCGTCTTCGCCTTCATCTTCTCGTCTCCGTCGACTGGCGCCGATCTTACGTCGCCGGTAAGGAGCCATCTGATGTGACGTGATGTCTGCGGCGGTGCGCGCCACACCGCCAACCCAAGGCTAAAAAAGAAATGCCTCGCGGATCGTGATTCTAAACTGGCACAGCACCAACAGGCTGCGCGGACGGCCCCCGGCGTCGAAGCGAGCGACAGGGAGCGGAATCGGAGGGTCGACTGTACGGCCTGTGGTCAGGCGGGGAAAGAAGCTGAGCAGCAGCAGCAGCAGCACGCTTCACAGGCGGTGATGGAGTCAATGGGAGAGGAAGAAGAGAGGAGAGGGAGGGAGGTGAAGAGGAGCTGGGGCGTCGAGGCAGGGCGGGGATGATGGGAGATGGAGAAAAGAAAGATCTTGTCGTCGGTGGAGGAGAATATTTGTTGAGCATAAGACGAAAGAAATGGACCATGACATCTGAAGCCGGGATGTCAATGCCCCAATCGGGCTAGCGCTAGGCGACGGCGACCGCGAGAGTTGTTCAGACACACAGCAGAATCACAAATGCTGTGTTTTTTTTTTGTTTCTTATTTTCGTTCTTTCTTTCTTTATGCGTTTATTAATGCCACAGGATAATGTTTACTCCTCTTTGTGCGTTTCTCTGCTGCACAGCTCGTCGTTCTGTTGCTGACTAAGCAGCCCAAGCTCCGGGCGATCCACCGACTCGCACCAAGCAAAATCCCGACGTCAGTGCAGACAGTCTAGAGAATATTCACCGACAGATCGTCTGTGGCTGTTTATTACTGTTGTTCGTTTTGTAACTCTTGCAGTCTTTGGTAGTATTTTAATTCTCTATGCCTTAACTCTCTATTCTCTATGCTGTTTTATAATGGCTGTTGCATTTACACTATTGTAGGAAGTTTTTGCCTGAGGCACATAGTATCCAGGTCTATAGGTCTAGAGAGGTATCGAGTAACCAACTGGTCCATCAGGCATATATGTACGTAGATTGCATTCACAGTAGACATTCACGCAGCGCATGCCCCTAGCTTCAGTCGAATGTGATCTTCTTTCCTTGCGGCTCGACAATGGCCCCGGTGAGCCTCTGCACCGTCTCTTTGGAATACCTCGGCTGTTTCTGGTTTTGCTGCTTGTCCTTCTTGCGTCGTTCCTTTGTAGCGTGGTTTGGCTGCGATCCATCACCAGAGTCTCCATTAACCGCATCGTTTTCCTCCACTATAGCCTCATCAGATGTTTCGCCCTTGCTCTTGGCCTTGCCCTTGGCTCCCTTTCCGAATCGCTTCTTATACCGCGTGGTGGGATCCTCGGCGAATTCCATCCGCAACTGCCGTCCCAGAAAGCGGTTCACCCAGATCTTCTTCGTCTTGGATTTCTTGGTCTTGGTTTTGGCAGGTTTCTCCTCAGCGTCAGATCCAGTCTGTTCTTCCTCTTCTTCCTCGTCGTCCTCTTCCTCCTCCTTCACTTTGACGAAGCCCTTCACGGCGGCTTCGGCAGCTTCCAGGGTCTCAAACTCCACCCAAGCAAAGCCCTTGCATTTCCCAGAGTCCTCAAAGGTGGCCACGTGCACATTGGTGACGGTCCCGCACCGCGAAAAGTGCTCCTCGAGCAATTCTTTCGTGGTGTCAAAAGCGAGATTACCGATAAATATTTTGCGCGAAGGCGGGTTGCCCGACGATTTCGAGGCACCCGGTTGCTGATGTTGCTCTGGCCGGCCCTCGAAGTCCTGGGCGCCTTTGATTAGCACTCGACGACCCGAGAGGAGCTGCTCGCTCAGCCCAATCGCCTCGTCCATGGCTTTCTTGTTTGAGAAGTCGATGTAGGCAAATCCCTTGTTCTGAGAGGTGCCATTCTTCGAGGGGCCCATAGGCAGGTGAATTCGCGTAATCGTGGCCTCGGAGAACGAGCAATTGCTTGTGAGGAACTTGCGGAGGTCATCTTTCGTGACGGTGAAAGCGAGATTTCCAATCCAGACGCCGTATTCGGAGCGCTGCTTGGTAGATTTTTTCTTCTTGGTCGTCTCAGTCTTCGTCTCAGTCTCGCTATCCGTCTTATTCTCTGTTTTTGTCTCCGTTTTGGCCTCAGTCTTTAGCGATTCAGGACTGATGCCCTTCTTTTTGGCCTTGCGCAGAGCTTTCTTGGAGGGCGGTTCGGGGGCGGAGACGTCGATCTCGATTTCGGGCACATCGTCCAATTTGCGCTTTTTCGTATTCTCTTCTGGCATTTTGCGTAAAGAGACTTGCAGCGACAGTGAATGACTAAGCAGAAGAAACTATTGTAGTGGACAATAGCAGCACGCAGTGGGGAGTGAATGTGTTGATCGCCCGCCGGAAACTTTTTACGGCGGCCGGGAGCAACCAGTCCGCATGACAGGCGCGATCGCGACTCGAAGCTGGACGCCGACCGCTCTGTCCTGCTTCTCCACCACTCCTCCTCCCCCCGTCTCGTCCTGCCATCATCACCACCTTCATCGATTCCATCCATCCTGTTAACGCTTCATCACCGCCATCATGGAACAGGACCAAGACGAGTCGCAGTCCGTGAACGGGAGCCTCCCCGATGCGCCGGCGCCAGCTCCTGCGACTGCTCCTGCGAAGCAGACGTACCGCTCGTTCAAGTAAGGCTCTCACCAACCCCCTCGATTTGACTGCTTGTCTCACAATGCTGCGCAGGAAGAAGTTTGCCAAACTCAAGATCAAATTCGAGCTGTCCATGCGGGAACACGAAGCTCTGCTACGCGAAGAGCAGCGCATCCAAGACCTGTCCAAGAGAATCCAGGAACAGAACGAGTAAGCTGGAGCGTTCTCCCGTACATTACGCGTCGCTGATTTCTGCCTCCCTAGTCAACTCCTCGAGGTGCTCCTGGAATTCAACGAAAGTCTACACATCCCTCCACATCTACGATACGACCTGAGTCTCCCGAGCGACCGTCATTCACTGCCTTCTCCAGAGCCGGATGACGCCTCTCCGTCTTTTTACGATGCAGCGACAGCCAAGGCGGCTTTGAAGGAAGCGAGAGCAGAGCTTGCGTCGGGCGAGATCTCTTCGGAATCGTACCGCCGCTTGGAGGATGCCGTGAAACGCAGCAAGGCCTTCCAGCCGGCCGTCAAGTACAGCTCTTTGTTGAATATCCCGCACAGCACCCCGGGGCCGATGACCAACGACCCGGAGTCCAATCTGGCGACAACGCTGGGCTACCTCACCCCGGAGCACGAGAACGAGTTTTACTTGAGAACGGACGCGCGGCTGGGCGATGCGCAGGCGGCGCTGCAGCTGAGCCAGCTCCCCGAGAAGCCCACGCTGAGCGAACGCGCACGCGAGGCAGCCCTGAACAGCCCGATTTCGGTGTACAACTGGCTGCGTCGGAACCAGCCGCAGATTTTCCTGCAGGACAACGAGAACGCGTCGGAGAAATCGGGGTCGCGTCCGGCCAACCTGCGATCATCGAAACGGACGTCGACGCAGGCTCGCCCGAGCACCAAGGAGGAGGATCTCTACGACGAGGATGGCATTCTGCTGGATGTGGGACCGCCGTCTGCGAAGGGCAAGCGCAAGCGCGACGAGGACACTCAGTACCGGCCGAAGGGCGGCAGCAGCAAGTCGAGTCGGAAGAAGAGGGAGTCGGATGCCAACTACGGCGGCAGACGGTCCAAGCGGTCGTCAGGTGTGGGCTCGTAGTGGCAGGCACTCGACGGTTTGACCGGTTTTCACTTTTACTGCTTCTACGCTGTTACTAACTTCGACACTGTATTATTGAATCGTTACGACAGTCTCTGAGCTTTGACGCAACACCAGACTTTCTTTAACTAGTTAATACGGTTATGTTCCTCGCATGGAAGTGGATTGACGCTGTACGGTTCGGGATGGTTCGGTTCGGTTGAGTTTGCATTTCATTTCATTTCCTTTTATGTTAGACATCAGTCATGCACTGGGATTCAAAACGTGTACGCTACACTAATAAAAGATAGCTAGATGCGGATATCAAATAAAGAACATGCCATTGTGATCAGAAGTCAAGAGAATTCGCACTCTTTATTTATTCTTTTCAATTTTCTTGGCTTGCTAATAATATATTCTGTACCGAATTACAGCATATATGCTATATAATCGATTCTTTCCTTGCTTCTATCGTGTAAATAAATAATGGATGAGTAGAAATCATTTTCATTCTGTACGTAACTTCCCTATCTCTTATAACCCTATTATCTAAATACAGTGAGACCCTTCCTAGTTCCTACATACCGCACTGATGTGCTGTGTTATTAGGCTATGCCAGGAAATAAGACAATATTCCATGCGCGTGTCGTCCTGTTCATGACTGCTGAGCAAGTCCTTATCTGTTCCTTTTCTTCGATGAATGATGATCATTCTCGCTGAAACATCCCTGATGGAGCCAGCCAAAACTCGAGTAAATAAATGACATGCTGCTGAAACAGTATTTGTTATATATACACGCCAAGTAACTCCTCTAGGAACGCCATGTCATGATGAATATCGAACCAACCAACGCTCATGAATATCAATCAATGCTCATGGACATCGACTCTCATGAATTATGACCGCTGATAGTCGTCACCTCGTCGTGACGGCTTCCTCCCATACACAAAATGGACCACCACATACAGATGATTCTGCCCGTTGCTCAGCTCCCCCTTGACGCCGTCCATCAGCTTCCGGATTTCCTCCGTCGACCACATCAGCACTCGCGTAAACGGTGCCAATGTGAAGGCCTCCAACGCTTCGAGGCAGTGGAACAGCGTCAGGTAGCCGATTTCCTTCAGCCGGCGGTCTTTGGACCAGGGGCCAACGGGGACCTGAGCGTGTTAGATAGAAGGCTTCCACTGTTCGATTCTGGGACCTACCTTGTAAATGTCGTCTCTGACATCGACAAAGCCCAGCCTCTCTAGCCGCTCCTTCATTGTCTCGGCGGTGTTCATCGGTTGATTGATCCTGTATCCGTCAGCTAGCTTGTCCAGACACATTTCTCCTTCTCAAAAGGCACACACCGACTCGTCGCCTCATTCAGCTTTCCTGCCACAGCCTGGTGCAAGGAGTCCGGCTCAGTGAGTCGTCGTCCGACTTGTACACCGATTCGTACTCCTGCAACTCCACCCATCCATCCTCCGTCAGATTGGCATAGACCTGTTCGAGCAGGGCATCCCAGTCCCGGATCGCGCCCGCCATGGCCCGACCGTGGACGTAGTCGAATTTCTCCTCCTCGAACGTCCACGGCGACTCGACATCGTCGACAAAAAAGCGGCAGTTGGGCGGGTGCGAGCTGGGCTGGATCGGAGACAGGTCGATCCCCACGACCTGGCTGTCCGGATGCTCGTCGGCAAAGTCGATGGCCCACGACCCGGTGCCGGTGCCGAAGTCGAGCACATGGCGTGGCTGGCGTGGGAGCGGCGCGCGGTACAGACGTCCGCGGAGGATCATTCGGAAGATGTGGTGGGCTAAGTCGAGCCGTTCCTGCTCCTTCTCGTCGTTGGGCATCATGTACGAGCCTTCGCGGAAGGCGTGGTAACGGCGGCCATTCTCAAATCTGTAGTTCTGAACGGACGGCGTGCCCAATTCTGGACTCGATGAGCAAGCATCCTCGTTTCCTGAGGTTGAGGCAGACTTACGCGTCTCTGTCAGGATGGAGCTCGCATCGTATAGTTCGGCACTCTTTTGGCAGATGCATCAGCAGGCGCCCAGGAGCAGTTTGACGACAAAATGGGGGCAGTGGTGACAGGATTGTCACAGACATCCTCTCACGACGTCGCAGGAACTGAATACAAGATGAAGTTATTCACTCACATCGACCTCCAACGGAGTTTGCTCACTCATAGTGTGTTCGGACTGTACTCCGGAGTATGGAGCGTGTTGCCCAAACAGGTAGGGTGGGCAGGTCTGAACTCAGAACTCTGTACAGAACCAGGAAGGGAATCAGGTCTGCTCATCCATGCCCATCTTGCTACAGGAATTGTCAGTGGCTTGCGATTCCTGTAGTGGACTCCGCAGAGCCTTCGGAGAAATATCAGGTGGGTCCCAGGGCAGAGGAGCTGATGCTACAGCAACAAGGCCGGGAAAAATACTCCGTAATGGCAAGGCAGTTCTAATGCCAGTTACAGCTGAGAAAGTGAAGCCAAACAGGGCAGTTTCAACAGTGAACCAGACAGTTACGGAGTAGGAATGGCATTCAAGGATTCGTGCGGCGTCGAACACGGAGCCAAGGACGCGGGTCAAGAGCAGCCACTGGGACCAGCGATCTTGGCTTCGACCCAGATGCCCGTCAGGGGAAAAGGTTCAGCGTGCTACTCCTGTTCTTCGTTAACTCGACTCAGGTGGGACTTTGCTCACCGCTTCGACACTCCTGCGGGGTATATGAGCTGTACGGAGTAATAATGGTATCGTACGCAAAAGGTTGACTTCGATATGTGCCACGCAGTCACGAGGATATGATCGGAGTACTTTTATGTGATCTTCAGCAATTCTGACTTTTTCCGTGGATGTTCCAGCATATGAATAACAATGACAGAATAATGTCCAGCTAAGCAGATGGCGATATATTTAGGGTCGGGATATATTCCCAAAATTGGAAGGGATCGCTGATCTACTTCCAGATAGACGGAATTCATGATAGTGTATACGGAGTATTATTGTCACAGACACCTTCAATACCAGTTGCAGGTCCTATTCGACCAGATCGACGTCATCGGATCTAACTTGTATCAACTGAAACGCCTGGGAGGCTGAAATTCGTTCTGATGGTCTGAATCTCATCTAACCGGAAGGAGAGAGTTTAAGTGCTGGTTCATGGACCCACTGATCGAATCTCTCTTTGAGTATTGAGCGTGAATCTTGGCCATTTTCTAATGTGCATGTCCATTGGGTTATCGTTTTGCACTCTCTTTTCAAACGACCGGAAAGGCTTTAAGCTCTTCGAGATAGACTTACTTGCAGAAGAATCCTATTTCCGTCCTGCACTCAGTCGCATCTGCTTCCATTTTTCCTGCCACTTATCTGGCAACTCTCCCACAAAACCCATTGTTTGTGCAACTAGGACATCGATATCACCAAGAATTTGAAAGAGGAGAACCCCAAAGACAAGTGAATAAATCTTCGTCGATAATAATTGGTTAGTATTATTTTCTGCAGATGCATCTGACCAGGGATTGCCTACCGCACAGCCTGTGTAGAGAAGGTTACTATTGGTCGAAAGATCGACAGGTCTGCCATGGTGGAGGAGTTGGGAAGAGAATAGGCGACCCTGCACCAGTCAAATTGGTAGTGAGGTTGGAAGTAGCAAGTTGATAAATCTTAGCAGCTACTGTGCACAGCTGTTAATGTGAAAGATGGTTAAAAGAATGCAAAGCCACAGCCGAAGAGAAGGGCAGTGTGCAAAGAAAAGAAACGATCTCTTGCCAATGTCAGGACACGTGATTATGTGAGTCACATCTGCAACGCCTGTGTCACATTGAGATGTCTGAACTGTCATTGAAAGGAATCCTTCTTAAATCTAGAACAGAGACATCTGAATACAGCAAAAAAAGCCGTCCAAGACAGACATACTTATTGGCAGAATTTTGTCGAGAAGCAGAGTCCATGACATAGGCTTATAAGGCCGGGCCTTCTCCCCAGACTACAGGATCTGATTTCTCTCATAACTGATCGTCTGTCCATTAGCCAGGAGTGGTTCTTTTTGTGACGGATCCAATTCCAGGCAATAGAGCAGTTTCTTATCACTAGGAGCGATCTAAATTACAAGAGACTAGGCTGGGAGGAGAGGAGAAGAAGGAAGGGAGCCAGGTCGCTAGCGAGGCGATTTATGCAAGTATTCTGCCGTACCTATACCTCACCGCTTTTCTCACCGCTCACGTGACGACAGGCAAGTTGAATCGTCACATCACCCCCCCCCTCCAAAATAGAGCCTGCCCTCAGGCGATGGTAAGGTCAAATTTTGTCCAGACCAATCAGAGACCTCATTAGTTGCTGCAGACCCCCTACCATAATTGGGAGGTTGTTTGCTATATTCCCGCTGCGCCACCTGATTGGTCGAGCCTAAATTCAAAGATCCTCTTCAACCGTTTGCGGGCGCCGACTCGTGGCCTTTGGCTTCCGCCCTTGGGCGCGGTCATCGTCTGTATGGTCCTCAAGGTGTTCATCGTCTTCGGCTGCTTTTAACCAAACTGGGAGCCGAATTGGTGGGCCTGGGGCATCTGGATGCTCCGCGTGAAAGTCTCGGATCCGTAGGGGTGCGTTCTTGAAGAAGTTCGCTGGGTACCACTTCGGGTCATCGTCATAGCCAATCCATTTGACACGGTAGTAGAGCTTGCCATAGCGGAGTTTTGAGGCAAGTATCTGCTCTACCTCCCATTCGTCTTGTCCATTTACTTCTATTGGCGGTTGCGCATCTGGAATCTGTCCCTGCAGTGGTTCGGTCGACGTAGCTCTGCGGAGCTTTTCTGGTGCAAACACTGGATGGACTCGTATACTGTCCGGAGTTCATTTGAAGAATTCCAACCTCTCA